AAAAAAAAAAAAAAAAAAAAAAAAAAAAAAAAAAGATTATGAAGCATCTCTGAATACTGTAACAATATATTAATGACAAAGGTGCTTTATTAAAGAAGAAACAAAAAAATTGTGTTAAAAATTGAAATTTTATTAGATGCGAAAATAAGCTGAATATGAATATAGCGCATCTTCCATTTATTAATAGGCTAACCAAATCTATTAATTTAATTTTCAAAGTTTTGATAAATTTTGCAAAGGATTTCATACTATCGGCAATTATCAATAAATATTAAATTAAAAATCCAAAAAAAATATCCTTTGTCTCTTATTTTTTGTGCAATTTTCTTACAAAGATTTGCAAATTATATTATTACTTATACATATATCGTGTAAAGTATAAAATTTAATAATTAATGTTAACAAAATATTCACCGATAGACTTATCATTTTAAAGATAATCCTAGCACAAATTGTATAATTATATGATATACAATTTAAATTTTTATAGAAAATACTACTATAAGAAGTATTACAAACAAATTGTATTCCATATTTAATAATAATTTAATAAAAAACTAATTTTTGGAAAAAAAATGGATCGAAGAGTGATTGAATTAATTCATTACTAATAATTTATATTCCATTTTGTTTTAATTGTTTTGGCCTTAACTTATTAAAAAATAATACATCAATTTATGTCACCAATTTTTTATCAGTTATTTTTCTTCTTTTTTTTTTGTTTTAAACAGCGACTAATTTACAATTATTTCGACAACAGAAATCAATGAATAGTTTTGTTGGATATAAAAAAATATTTCCTTCTTCGCCATTTTGCAATTGACATTTTATTTATCACTTGAAAAAATGTTGCAAAAATTTGAAAGTTTACAATCATAAATACTTTCTAACTTTTAATGAATTATTTTTCTATAACTTAAACTCACCACTCGAGGTAAATTCCATAAATTTTTTCTATTTAAGGAAAAACTTTTAAGTTTTTAAGATAAGCTTAAAATAAAATTTAAGATTAGCCAATAACTGAAACATTGAAACTAATTTAGTTTAGCCAAATCTTATCAATTCGGAATTGTTTGTTTTAAAATATAATTCAAAAAAAAAATCCTATTAAAATGCTACACAATTATGCTTTTTAATTTTCTTATTTTCTGTAATTACAGAGAATAAAATTATCATATTTCACTAATCGTTTCTTTCTTTCAATTTATCTAAGGTACTATATCTAATTAATTAATTGCTTCGTATATTTATTAAGCCGGAAATATGAAAATTTAGAATATCCCAGAAATAAATTAACAGCACTGTTACACTAAACACCAATGAAACAAATGAATGATAGTAAATTTCATGTAATTACTTTATTACATGAGCCATGCATACTTACGATTCGTTCATCCTCGAGCTATAACAGGAAAAAAAAAGAAAAAAAGGGAGAAATCTTTAGGAAATCTTTTTAAAAATTCTAAAATTTAATTTGAAAAACAGCAAAAACACCGATTAAGATATAATAAAATTACCAATTTCAGTTTCCATTTTCTTTTTTTTTTTGCTCAAAAAAAAGCAAACAAAAATCATAAACGATATTACTGAACACCAACAACACGATATCATATCATACAGATAGCTTAAATAATAAATAAATATTTACAATAAAAAAAAATTTTTTTTTCATTTACCATTAACAACATCTATGGATAGTAATAACTTACCCAATAATGTATGAAACTTTCATTTGGAGATTCAAATTCAATTTCCTAAATTGTTAAATCAATTTTCTAACTTATTTTTT